AAAATTTCCGCTACCGGTTCTCCACAACCTGCTGAATAGCACCCCTGAACTGCAGGTCTATCAAGCGAACATTCCTGAACATCATCCAGATGTGTTTGAGCTTCAACTTCCAGGCTTCTCATCCAGTCCCCAGATTTGGTTAAAAATCCAATAATTAGAATACTGAGCAAGACTTTGTGAAATAACACTTTTCTATGAATGACAATCTCCACAATCTATACCAAGATTCTGGAGACACTCTATAGCTGGCACAAATAATATTTTTCAAGACAGAGAGAGACCTTCTCTGTTCTTTTCCTCATTTTCTTCAGTGCTGATGGAGGCTTGGGAAAAACAGGTTTGTATCATTGTTTTTACACACTATTGCTTTTAAAAGCAAGGCAAAACAAAACAGGAAAGGAAAATGAATTGAACCACCTGATCCAGAAGGTGAAGCTTTCAAGTCAACCTCACCTCTGGTGACTTAGAGACATACCCATGCCGTTTCCTTGGCAACAGTGCAGAAGTGGTTTGCCATGGCTGTCTTCTGGGATATTTTTTTCCAACTAACCAGTCTAGTTTATAGCCTGATTGTATTCCCTGTTAGTCTCTCCTGTGGATATTATCCAGCTCTGAGCTTGCATAGCTTTATGGCAGGGGTGTTAAACTCAATTTCATTGAGGGCCACAACAGAGTTGTGTTTGACCTCAGGGGGCTGGGGTGGGGGCATGGCCAAGGTGTGTGTGGCCGGAATGGGCATGGCCAGCACAATATCACTCATCAAGGCTCTGTTTTCAGCTGCAACAGCCTCCTGCAGCCCTCGGCCAGTGAAAAATGGAGCTCAGGGAGGCTGTGCATAGCCCTCCCGGGCTCCGTTTTTGGCTGCGACGGCCTCCTGCAGCCCCCTGCCAGTGAAAACAGGCTCCTCAGGCTCTGTTTTTGTTGGCAGAGGGCTTCAGGAGACCATCACAGCCAAAAAGAAAGCTCGGGAAGGCCACGGCAGCCCTCCTGAGCTTCATTTTTGCTAGCAGAGGCACCGCGGGCTGGTCCTTCACTGTTTCCAGGGTGGCTCCACAGGCCAGATCTAAGCACCCTGTGGGCTGGATCCAGCCTGAAGGCCTTGAGTTTAACACCCTTAGAATAGAATAGAATAGAATAGAATAGAATAGAATAGAATAGAATAGAATAGAATAACAGAGTTGGAAGGGACCTTGGAGGTCTTCTAGTCCAACCCCCTGCTTAGGCAGGAAACCCTACATCACTTCAGACAAATGGTTATCCAACTTCTTCTTAAGAACTTCCAGTGTTGGAGCATTCACATCTTTTGGAGGCAAGTCATTCCACTGATTAATTGTTCTGTCAGGAAATTTCTCCTTAGTTCTAAGTTGCTTCTCTCCTTGATTAGTTTCCACCCATTGCTTCTTGTTCTACCCTCAGGTGCTTTGGAGAACAGTCTGACTCCCTCTTCTTTGTGACAACCCCTGAGATATTGGAAGACTGCTATCATGTCTCCCCTAGTCCTTCTTTTCACTAAACTAGACATACCGAGTTCCTGCAACCGTTCTTCATATGTTTTAGCCTCCAGTCCCCTAATCCTCTTTGTTCCTCTTCTCTGCACTCTTTCTAGAGTCTCAACATCTTTTTTACATCATGGCGACCAAAACTGGATGCAGTATTCCAAGTGTGGCCTTACCAAGGCATTATAAAGTGGTATTAACACTTCACGTGATCTTGATTCTATCCCTCTATTTATGCAGCCCAGAACTGTGTTGGCTTTTTTGGCAGCTGCTGCACACTGCTGGCTCATATCTAAATGGTTGTCCACTAGGACTCCAAGATCCCTCTCACAGTTACTACTATTGAGTAGTAGTACTACCCTTGCTTTATGGGATTTAGTCTAGATCAGGGGTGGGGAACGATGGCCTTTTTATGACTTGTGGACTTCAATTTCCAGAATTCCTGAGCCAGCTATGCTCGCTCAGGAGTTCTGGGAGTTGAAGTCCACAAATCATAAATTGCCATCATTCCCCACCTCTGGTCTAGATCATCAATGGCTTAATGTAACTATTTTACTTCTTACTTTGACCCCAACCTCAACCTCATCTCCAAAGCCGTGGAAATGTCATTTATTTATTATTATGTTCTATCTATCTATATGGAACAAAGTAAATAAATCTAATGATAAATAAATAAAATCTATCTTCATTCTCCATCTTTCTTGCTGAAGAAGATAACTTTTCAACTCTTATTGTAAAAGGGGAGAATATCATCTCGATGATCAAGTTCTGTCTGTAAATCTCATTTTGAGATTGGTACACTAAATTAGAAAATCCTTTATTGCCTTTTTTTTGACACATTACCAATGGTTTCTTCTTTTCAAATGCTGACTTCCTTATAGAATAAGCACTTGGAAAAGAGTCAGCACTATGGTATATTACTGAATGTGATGTCAGAGAAATGCATTAATTTAGGAAGCTGGGTCTTTTCAGAAATATGAATCAGTCTTGAGCACGGCTGTTTTGCAGTTACTCATAAACCAAAGGCTAGAAATAAGTAATAATGCTGTTTTTTTCCATAACAAATTTCATTTTCTGTCCCAGAAAGCATTCGGGGAGGGTCATTGGTCTTTTTCTCGCCACAGTTTTCAGAACTCCCTTGATTAATCCCGAGGAGTAAGGCATAATTTTATTTTTTTCCCCCTGTTTTTCATTTTTACAATGTTACATTCATTTCATTGTGTTTCTTTATGGATGTGACGAGGTTGACTTTTAGAGCTGGAGGTCTATTGATTTGCAAAGATGGCAACTGACCCAGAAATGCACAACTGTGGAGGATATTTTTGTGGAAAAGAAAGGATAGACCAGGATTACTGGGAGTATGTTGTGTCATCTGACTTCCCCCCTGCTCAACTGGAGCACCTTCTCCTTCTGTACTGGGGAAATATCTATCTTAGGGTCTTCTGTCCAGTTTTCCCCCACCCCAAACTCCACCCCCCCTCAGGAATTCTCTATCTCTCAAATTTTGGGTTGGGCTAGCAGCATGCCCTCCAGCCACTGAGGAGGTGAGTCTCCCCTTAGGGTTCAAGTCCCTGACATGTATACACTTTGCTGCACCAATGGGACTGCTTATTGGAAAATCTTCCCATACAACTGCTGAATAGCATCCAGGTCAATCCATCAAGCCTCGTGACAGCACAGCTGCCCTTCAAGAACCAGAACTAAGTTGCTTTTTCTCCTTTTCTTTACTCTTTAACGTGCATCTGGAGAAGCACTGCAGGGGAATTTGGTCAACCCAGAGCTTTTTCAGAGAAAGGCTTGGATTAAGAGACAGCACAGTCCCAAACTGGATGCAGGAGGAGGAGAAGAAGTTCAGGATAGCCTCATCCTAGAATCTCCCAAGTTATACCTAGTATCTTAGAAGATTATAGCTTTAATTTGGCAAGATTCCGTCCACTAGATGTGTGCAAATAAAGTATTGAACGCAATTGGGTTTTGTTGTGCTGTCTGACAAATGGCTAGCTCATGCCAACAAAACAGCAGTCATGCAGCCACAAAATCCTATGCCATAGGATTTTCCAAACACGTCATAACTTTTGCAAACATTGTTGTGCATATCCCCCGGATACACAGATTTTTGCAGGCAACTTCCCATGTGTTGGAAGAAATGTCCATCTGGGTCCAGTTCCAAGTGAGGAGAAAGACACTGGAAACATGGAGGCTGATTGGAAAGATGGTTTAATGGTGGACAGGACCACATGGTTTGAGGTCCTGGGCAATCGAGCACATAGGTGTGTGTTTGTGTGTGAGAGAGAGATTTATACCCTCTCTTGGGCTTTGAACTTGCTTCCTGTTCCTGTGAAAGAAATGTATTCTGATTGGTTGTCAGACTCCCATGGGGCCATGCAGGGATAACTTTGTAGGTTGTCTTGAGTCTCAGGCTTGGTTGAATCTTGCTGGGTGATGTTATAAAGGGGCTTTGGGAAATTCCTATTATGGCTTAATGGCTTTGTCCTGGTTTGGCTCTTGACTGAGGGCTAATCCTATCATGTCCTGAGGGTGAAGGTCTTTTGTCTTGTAGATAGGTTGGCACCAGTCTTTCTGGGGCTATTAACAAAGGTGGGGGCTGCTTTCCAAGAGCATGTTTCTCCTTTTCTCATCCAGGGAGGTATAATATTCTAAGCCTTTTTAATATTTCATTCTTCTAGGAGAAGGGTGGGTGCTAACTTTCTACACAAGACATACATATTTTCATATTTAAATGCATAAGTTTTGAACCAAGAATTGCAGTTTCAAGTTTGGAGAACAACGTTGGGCAAAAGGGAACTATGTCCTAATTCTGTTTTTACTGCAAATGCAAATTAAAATAGTTTTCTTTAAAATTAAAGCAAGAGTGGTATTTTTCTTGCCTTTGCTTTTTGTACAGGGAAATCCTTATTCTGAGGTGTTCCATCCAACAAAAGGCTTAGAATTCCGAAGACTTCTTGAATTAATTTAGTTAGGTTTTGAGCATCTCCTAACCCTGGAGATGGATAGGTCAAAAAAGGCATGATTGTGGTTATAGCATCATGATCAAAGCTGTACCCTTTTGTATTCACATGTTATATTGTAACCACCTGGTGCCCCATATACAGGGGTGAAATCCGGCAGGTTCTGACAGGTTCTGGAGGACTGGTAGCGGAAATTTTGAGCAGTTCGGAGAACCGGTAGTGGAAATTTTGAGTAGCTTGGAGAACCGGCAAATACCACCTCTGGGTATCCAGAGTGGGGTGGGAATGAAGATTTTGCAATATACTTCCCCCAGGAGTGGGGGGAATGGGGATTTTGCAGTATCCTTCCCCTGGGGTGGGGTGGGAATGGAGATTTTGCAGTATCCTTCCCCTGCCATGCCCACCAAGCCACACCACACCCACCAAGCCACGCCCACAGAACCGGTAGTAAAAAAATTGGGTTTCACCACTGCCCATATACCTATTAAAATATTAAGATACTTTGAGGATCTAATTCCCATTTTCTTCCTCTCAGATTGGAGAATATGGATAGCCAGGGAGGCTTCAGATATGCAACTGAAAAAAGACCATGCAATGCCGAATCCTCTGCCATCTTCCACAAGAAAGCAAATTTCTAAACATTAGCAAGAGAAACTTTGAAAAGTAAAGCAGGAAGCTAATACTTTCGTGACATCATGTCTTACTAGAAAGTTCTTAAAGTCTTTAATCTACATTTAGTACTTACTCTGTTGCTCAATCTTCTGCATTTTTCTTTTTCTGTATTTCACTATTTTAAGAACAAAAATAATTTTAAAAAAGAATTTAGAAGTGTCTTTCACAGGAAAAAAATATAAATCTCTGAAAACTGTAAGACAGATTTTGGCAGTTCATTAGCTAATTGATTCCTGTGTATCAACCATGAAGCATTTTGCATGAAAAATCAAGTCTTTTAGAATCTAAATTTACAATAAAGCATTTGTGTTCCAGGTGTTGTGATAACTCAGGACTCAATTATTGGGTAGAATTGTTGAGGTATTTTCAACCATTACATACTGGCATTTTAAATAATTCTGTCTTAAAAGTTTATTATGAAAATTAGCAAGGCAGGAGAGGGTCAAAATGTAGCATAATTTCCCAAGGTGAGCATCCTCTTTTATCTGTGTATGATGTGCACGAGACCCATGAAAAGATGACGGAGCTTTGATAATCAGTCATACCTACCATCTTGGTCTTCTAATTCCCCACCCCAACATTTTTTTATGCTTAAGAGAATACCTGAACAAAAAAGCAGCATTCACATGCCTTCTTGGAAAGTAATAAAGATGTCCATTGGTTGGTTGAAGAAACATTTTGCCATAATCCATAAAATTGAAGGATATAATTTTTCTATCTCCCCCTTTGGGGATAATTGATGGGAACCTTTATCTCTAGATCAAGCACTCTTGGAGTAGGCAATCAGGGTGATAACTCCTGATGCAAATCTCTTTATAAAGGTCATTTTAAGTTTAAAGCACCCGTTAGGTGGTAAATGTGGCTTCTCAGCACTGATTCATTAACACCCTGACTCTAGTGCTTTCATACTGTTAGCACTTTTCTGTGGTGGTTGAGCAGGAGAAGACATTGCTTTCAACTCTTGCTATTTTTATCTACCTACCTAGAAGCTCTACAGAAATTGACTAACCCTCAACTTTAATAATTATTTTTTACTTTTTTAAAGGAATAAGAATAAAGTACAGGAGAAACAGCAATTTCAATCTATGTTAACAGTTTAAATAATAATATAATAATAATAATAATAATATAATATAATATAATATAATAATATAATATAATATAATATAATATAATATAATATAATATAATATAATATAATATAATATAATATAATATAATATAATATAATATAATATGTAATGCAATGCAATGCAATGCAATGCAATGCAATGCAATGCAATGCAATGCAATACAATACAATATAATAATACAATAGTTGCCCTGAGTCTTTGGAGAGGGGCGGCATACAAATTGAATTAATAAATAAATAATAAATAATACAATACAATACAATACAATACAATACAATACAACACAACACAACACAGCATAACACAACACAACACATCACTGTTGCTATGCTATGCTATGCCATTTTAACAGAGAAGGGAGAACTAAAACAGAAACAAGAAAAACAAGGGATTGAGACAGTTTGGTATTCATGACTGCAAATACAATCAAGATATGATAAAGATTTGAAACAGTATGGTTTTAATTTGGAAAAATCAGAATTGGACGAGATATTGACTGGGCCATGTCATACAATATAATATATAGACCAAGTTTGGTCTAGAGATTAAGGTACAAGGTTAGAAACTGGGAGAGTGCTAGTCTACCTTAGGCCTAAAAGCCAGCTAGGTGACTTTGGGCCAATCACCCGTTGACCATGAGTTCTAGTCCCGCCTTTGACATGCAAGCTGATTGGGTGACTTCAGGCCAGTCACTCTCTCTCCCCCTCTGTTCACTGCACTTTACAAGGTTGTTGTGAGGATATAGAAGGAGGAAGGCGAATCAGGCATGTTCACTGCCTTGAGTTATTTGTAAAAATAATAAAAAAGGAATACAAATAAATGAATAAATATTCTGGAGATAAGTAGCTGGCAATGTTTCCAATAACTCAGATTTCAATATCAACCACAAATTTTGATTCAAGGGCTGAATTTAGAAATATGAAAAGAGCTTGATTTTCTTTGGACAAATTCAGTGATTTTTTTCCCCTGAATCTTTGTGTAGCAGAAACAGAATTAAAAACGTCAGTTGCTTATTTTTTGTTTGTCGTTAAAAGGAGGTGAAATTTGCCACCTAAATCTTTGTGATAGGAATTTTGCTAAACTTTACAGCAACAATGACAAGGGTTTTAAAGTTTGCTTTATGAAAAATAGCATTCTCATTTTTGGTACAAAATATGCTAACATTTGCAAAGTTAGCAAAAATGGAGAGAGATGGCTTCCGTTCTTTAAAAATGGTTTTGCGTAAATCATTTCAGCCATAAATTACTGCAGGCACCTTGCAACAGAAGGAAAAACCATCCACATCATTTCATTTGGCTGAGAATATTACTGAATCAAATGCAGACAATTTTCTAGAAAAAAAAAAGTTGGCCAATAAAGCAACAATGATGCTTGGAAGAAATGGAAATTTAATTGATTGAAAGCATTGAATTTTTCCTATCCAAACTTTGACCTCAAATTGAGGGTAATCCAAATGGAATTTACAGCAGAAATGCCCATGAAATGTGAAATGTTAGAGTCATAACATTCTTGCATGATTCTCAAACAATCAGACCTCCAGAAAGTGATAGAAAAGTTGTTAAAAAAAGATACCATATAGATCTTCTAAGTGCTGGGAGTTTTATTTTATGAAAGTCTGATTCAAGAATATTGCTTGGGGCACTGCTTGTATTTATCTGAAAAATAAGCAAATAATATGTTGAATGACATAGTTGACATAGATACGGTGGTACCTTGGTACTCATTGTTAATTAGTTCTGGGAGGCATGATGAATACCAAAACTGATGAGTTCCAAACAAAAATTTTCCAATAAGAAATAATGTACTGAGTCACAAAGCAGCCGATACCAACAAGTTGTGCATTGAGTACCAAACAAACGATGAGACAAAGTTTTCACTTCAAAATGCATTGAGTACCAAACTCGATGAGTTTCAAAGCAGTTGAGTATCAATCGTAATCTCCATGAATAACATAGTTATTCAATGAAATGAAAGAGTATTTTATATGCTGGTTTTATCCATTAACATAGATTAGAAGAAATAATAATCCCATTCTCACAGGCAAGTATCAAAATTGCATACAGAAAAAGATTCCACTAGTAATCAGCATTCAGATCAGCATAGATTAACGCCAAGGTCAACTTCAGACCGACAATCAAGTAAACAATACCCCAATCAAGGAACTGCCAAAGAGCCATTAGTAAACAGCCCAACCAAACAATCCCTAAGACTGCGCCCAATAAAACACAGACAGGCAAGACACCAGAATATAAACTGACAGCAAACATCAGTCCTTACTAAACTGATGATGTTATGTAGTTGGGTAATGAAACGTCTGCAAGAAAACAAACAAGCTCAGAGAGCACCAAGGACCCAGTGGTGGGATTCAGGTAATTTAACAACTAGTTCTCTGCCCTAATGATTTCTTCCAACAAGCAGTTTGCCAAACTGCTCAGAAAATTAACAACCGGTTCTCCCGAAGTGGTGCGAACTGGCTGAATCCCACCACTGCAAGGATCCCTCATTTCAACCCTGAGCTACAAATATTCTCCTTTATTGTGTAGTATCTATTCTCAAAAACTGCAGAAGTACTCAGTTTTAACTTTTTGGCCAAAGATTTCAAGGTTGGTGCCAGTCAGAATATTCTCTGGAGAGAGAATATTCTACAAGATAGGAATTACCACTGAGAAACTTTGCCTCCAGGCCTCTCCTCAGTAAAAGAACAATATTGAAAAGCTGGTTCTGTCTGGGAAAAATGGTACCTAGCTAATGCTTTAAAGGTCAAAACACGCATTTTGAATCAACTGAATTATTTACTTGTTTTTCACAATAATCAAAGTTCTCAGGTGGCTTACAATAAACCACACTAAAAATACAATTTGAGTTCAAATGTACATTGGGGTGTCCAACCTTGGCACTTTTAAGACTTGGGGACTTCAATTCCCAGAATTCCACAGCTGGTCATGCTGGGTTCTAGGGATTCTGGGAGTTGAAGTGCACAAGTCTTAAAAGGTGCTATGGTTGGATACCCCTGATATAGACCATCAAAACAGAAAAAAATCCAAAAGGAAGACATCCTACCAAGTAGATTAAACCAAATTAAAAACAATAGTACTTGATTGTATGAATGTTGTACCATGCTAAGCTGGGTAATTTCTAGGCATGATTATATCACTTTGAACCTGCAAAGATTTGTGTTTTAATAAAACAAAAGACATTTGTGGTCTTAGGGATTGATTGAAAGATGAAATATTGTGGATTTAAAACTCCAGGAAATCTATATTTCCAGGGAAGTTTGATGATGTTCTTCAAAACATGAAGATTGCAACAAGCACAGTTCTATTGATATACCTTTTAAAACAGGGAAATTAACTCTCTCTCTCTCTCTCTCTCTTTCCCTCCCTCCCTCCCTTTCCTCTATGATTGCTAAATAAAGCTTTAATTGTGGAGTCCTTGATGCTTTCTGAGCTTGGTTGGTTCTTGCAGATCTTTTCGGACAACCATGACCTGGATCAGGGGTGAGTTCTAAATTTTTTTACTACTGGTTCTGTGGGTGTGGCTTATTTTGTGGGTGTGGCTTGGAGGTCATGTGACTAGGTGGGCGTGGCTAGCTGGTCAGAGTCATTTCTGGAAGGTCCTCGCACTTACGACCAGTCCTCACACTTACAACCCGACTCATTTGTTTGCTTTTAACAATGATCAGCTGTAGGACGGCCCTTTAAAGCCCCACGGCAAGAGTTTAAACAGTTTTTTTCCCTCTAGTCATCAGCTGGGACTCAGGAGGCAGCAATAGATTGGGGGTGGGACCAAATAAAAGGTAAGAATAACGTGGGTGGGTGGGGGAGTGGGAGGGCGGGGGGGGGAGAACCGGTTCGGTAACGTCATATCGTCACCACTACCGGCTCAGCCGAACCGGACCGGACCGGGAGGAACCCACCACTGGTAGGAATGGATTTCCAGAGAAAAAGTTGCAGACTACAGGAACCAGGACCACTACTCAGGTGACCCTGATAAACATCCAAGTGCTTCAATGACCTTCTAAAAGTATGCAAATGACCAGCTCTCTGCAGGGAATATAAATCCTTCCATTCCCCACCATCCAGTCAGAGCTGAAAAGCTTCTTGGATGAGAAGCGAAACATCTTCAAAGAAAAAACAAGAAAGTCCAGTTGCCTCCTGAAAAAAGCACTTTTGGGACAACCATGACCT